CTGATGAAATACACTGCTAAGGGGAGCAGCAGGTGCGGCAGGAGAGGTCTGTACGCCATGTGGGACCCTCGCCCGGCGGCTGGGGATCGAACTGGCGCTGCAGAGGCTGCGGAGGCTGCGGAGGCCGCGGGCAGCTTTGCAACCCAGTGCTCAACCGCTGTGCCACCAGGGAGGCCCCCTTGCCTTAATCCTTAATTCCACTTTACAGCAAAACGGTCATTATCCCATTCAAGAACTCACTATTAAATGACAGGACTATATGCTCTTATTGTAAACCACACTTTTCCTATATGTATATGTAAATTGTAAACTTTATAAATATTGTATATTTCCTATAGTGTTCCTTTTTAAGCAGCATGTATTTGGTGACATTAGGTATATACCTTAACATTTAAACACACAACACACAGCAATTAAAATTGTTAACACATAATCAGATTTACAATCATCAGATGCAAACCTTCTTAGGCTCTATGACAAGGAGAATGTTGAAAGGATTTAACTTCAGGTATCCTCCCTATAGTATCTGTTGATAAACTCTGGTGCTCAGCAGAAATAAAGATATTCTAGAATTTGCACTGTCTAACCACATGGGATCATTTTCTGAAGGGAATTGGAAATAAAGTTCTTTAGTTGTTAGTAATAAAATTAAAGGGCCTCCCTGGTGGTGCAGGCAGTTGAGCGCAGCGCTGTGAAGCTGTCCACAGCCTCTGCAGAGCAGGTTTGATCCCGGCCAGGAGACACCCACATCGTGCGGCGGACCTCTCTTACCTTGCCCTCTGCTCCCCTAAGCAGTATATTTTAGTCAGTCTGCCTGTTCTGTTCCCCACTCTGTCTCTGGTGAATGCTCTCACCCTCCTACACATCTGGCCTGTACCCTGATTCTTGTATGCATGAATAAATAAATCTTTAAGAAATTAAATTAAATCTGTTTTTGTCAAATAACTGTTTCAGACAATAAATATTTAATAACAGCTTACAAACTCCTAGAACCCTATGGGAGAAACAAAGAACTTTGAGATTGTAGCTGAATTGGAGTGATAACTTATTCATACAATAACACTAATAATGGAACAAATTTCTCAAACAAGTACATGATTAAATGGCATTGATAGACAAGTACATTTTAGGATTAATCATGGATTGGTGGGATCTGGAAAGGTTTTGATGGAAGAGATTTCTTCCAACTAGGCCATGAAGACTAGAAACACTAAAATTACTTTAGGTGTAAAGAAGCACAGAAGACCAGGCATAAGGACAGGAAAGTTTGGCAACTCAGAATTTTCAGGTTACTAGGGTAGGAATGTTACGATAAGTATCTGTTAGGTTCATGAAGGACTTAACAGTTTTGAACTTTGTGGAGAAATTGAGTTCTTTAACTTTATTCTTTTTCCAGAATATTTTGCTTTCATATGAATTTTAGGACCAGCTTGTTAAATTCTGCAGAGAAAAGCTGGAATTTTTTTTTTTTTTTTTAAGAGGCATGTTTTATTTATTTATTTATTTATTTGTTTGTTTGTTTGTTTATACATGCACTGGGTACAGTCAGAAGCACGGGAGGGTGAGAGAATTCACCAGAGCCAGAGCGGGGAGCAGAGCAGGCAGAAAGACCGAAGCACACTGCTGAGGGGAGCAGCGGGCGGCAGGAGAGGTCTGCGCGTCATGTGGGACCCTCCTGTGGCCGGGGAGCAGCCAGGGATCGAACCGGCGCCGCAGAGGCCATGGGCAGCTTCGCAACCCAGCGCTCAACCGCTGCGCCACCGGAGAGGCCCGAAAAACTGGAATTTTAATGTGGCTTTATGTTGAATTTACAGATCAATTTGGGGAACATTACCATTTTAACAATATTGAATCTTCTAATCATGAACATAGGATGTTTTTTCATTTATTTTGATCTTCTTCAATGTTCTTTAATAATGCTTTGTAGTTTTCAGAATATAAACTTTTCACTTATTTGTAAACTTATTCCTACATATTTTATTCTTGTTGATTTTTTTTAAAGATTTATTTATTTATGCATACAAAAACTAGGGTACAGGCCAGAGATATGGGGGGTGAGAGGGTTCACCAGAGACAGAAAGGGGAACAAAACAGGCAGATTGACCAAAGCACACTGCTGAGGGGAGCAGTGGGCGAGTCAAGAGAGGACTGCTGCTCCTGGTGGGTTGCTCCCTGGATGGCCAGGAATCAAACTTATGCTGCATAGGCTGCAGTTTGCTTCATAGTGCTATGCTTAACCCCTTGCGCCACCAGGGAGGCCCCTGATGTTATTTTAAAGAAATTATTTCCTTAATTTTAAGATTGTTGCAAGTATATAGAAATTCAATTGATTTTTGCATATTGATCTTGTGTTTTTTAACCCCGCTGAACTCATGTATTAATTATTCTAATAATATTCACCAGTGGATATTTTGGATTTTCTATATACAACTTCTTGTCATCTGTAATAGAGCTAGTTTTACTTCTTTTGCAAGCTAGATACCTTTCATTTTATTTTCTTGCTGTATTCTCTTAGCTAAAACTTCTGATGCAGTGTTGAATAGGAATGGCAAGAACGTTTTGTTCCTGATCTTAGGGAGGAAAGCACTATCTTTCATAATGAAGTCCCTGCTAAGTGCAGGGTTTTCGTGGTGCCTTTTATCTGGCTGAGGAAGTTTATCTTATTGAGGAAGCTTCCTGTTATTCCCAAATTTTTAAAAAGATTTATTTTTATTTATTTATGCACACAAGAACTGGGGTGTAGACCAAAAGTGGAGTGGCGGGGGAGGGATGTGTGTATGAGAGAGGATTCACCAGAAACAGAGTAGGGAGCAGAACAGGTACATCTACTGAAATACACTGCTGAGGGGAACAGGGGGTGAGACAGGAGAGAGAGGTCTGCTGCACCATGTGGGTTAACTTCTGGGATAGCTTCATAGTGTTGAGACTTTAACCCCCGCTCCACTGGGGAGGCCCCCCAGGTTTTTTTTTTTTTGTTTAATGTGGAGAAGTATTAAATTTCGTCTGCTTTCTATTGAAATGATCATGTGGCTTTGTCTTTGTTTTGATGTATTACATTAATTGACTGGATGTAAAGTGTGCATTATCCAAGTAGATAGATCACAATTGGTCATGGTGTATATTCCTTTTTTATGCCATTGGATTCAAATTTCTAGTGTTTTCTGGGGATTTTTATATCTAAATTAATAAAAGGCATTGATGTTCTGTCTTTTTAAAGGGAAATTTAGGGAGTTGCCAAGAACAAATGCTGCTGCTTTGCTTTCTTTTGAGAATTCTTCATGCGTGATGTCAGCAAAATTAGTTATCAAAAAAGATGTGTGGGAGGAAAACACTACAAGGTATTGTTTTACCCAAGCTCCCCTCTTTTTTTTCCCCCCAACATTCATTGTGCATTTGTGGCTCCTTCATAAAAATAAGGAACTATAACCCTTTGGTTTCAAATACCTCAGTCAACAATATAAGCAGTGAAATCTGTTTTTTTGTGTAGAAAGTCTACCTCAACCTAATACGTAGCATCTTGTTTGTCAGTGTAAGACCTACTTATTTTCTTTTTATTTGCTCTTAGTTTAGTTTGCTCCATGGAGCAGAATAATGCACCTTTGAAAAAACCAAGACCTCTGATAAGATCTATCATCACTTTGCTGTACATGTCAATTTCTACTTGCATCGTTCTTTACTGTTCTTGTTGTTTCTGCTTGTTAAGCAAATTTTGTCAAAGAGAATCAATTCAGTAATAACTAGTAAATAATAAGGCTTCGATTGAATTTGTTCATTTACTTAAAGAACTCAGAGGAATCTTAGGTAAATAGCAATTACTGATTTTAATCAAATTCTATTGGGCAAAATTTTCTTTGTAAGGACTATTTAACTCAATGTCAATAATTATTTATCTTTATGTAGAGACAACACATCCATTGTTTGCTTGGATAATATATTTGATAAGCAAAGTTATATTTATAATACATAGGGAAAGTACAATATAAAAGAATGAAGATTTCCTGCTGTATGTGGTATTTAAAAAATTTTTTTTGTATGTTTCTGGGCCTCTCTGGTGGCACAGGTGTTAAAGTCTCAAGCTATTTCTAGCCCCTGAGGCATGAGTTTGATCTCCAGCCAGGGAGATACCCATACAGTGCAGCAGACCTCTTCTGTCTTCCCTGCTGCTCCCCTCAGCAATGTATTTCAGTAGATCTGCCTGTTCTGGGTTCCACTCTGTCTCTAGTGAATCCTCTCACCACCAACCCCCATCTCTGTCCTACACCCCAGTTCTTGTATGCATAAATAAATAAAACTAAATCTTTTAAAAAAACATATTGTTTTGGTGTGTTTCTATAGAACAGGAATGGGAAATAATTGCTTCTCTAGTTCCTGACAATGTCTACGAATATGTTTTCTTGTATATTTGCTACTGTTTGCTAGAAGCACAAGCAAGCCAATTTTCCACTTCAGTGATTAGAACTAGAGGCTGTGCTTAAAACTTAACATTTGGAAGTATTTCTTGTTTTAGGGAAATGTTACCATAGTGGACTGTTTCAAAGAAAAAAGATAAAGCTATATTCATTTTAAAGTCCATGCCCCTTTGTCTCCCTCCTTTTAAAGTATCATTTATTGTTAACTATTTGGGATCATTTGAAAAAGCATTACAAACTCCATGCAGAAAACTGAGTAAAGCACAGATAACATTTTGGTCCCACAGTTTAGAAACAGCTCTAAACATTCTTTTTACTAGGGTGTGGCGAGTAGTTTCGTAAACGACTTCGTTTCCACATTTATCAAGTGCCACTTTTTCACAGTGACCCCTCTCTGCCCCTTCTCTACCGGCGGTCGCGGCAGGGAGGAATCTCAACTCCCCAGGCACAGCCACAGCTGTGTCCCCCGCCCACTGCCAGTGCTGGGCCTGCGCAGGCGCGGCCCCTTTAAAGGGGTCCAGCATGGGGGGGGGGGCGGGTTGGTCTCTGCGCCGATTGGCGGAGCTGGGAGCCACGTGGCTGTCCCGGCGAGGCCGCGGCGCGGATTCGGGTGGCGGCCGGGGATCCTGCAAGGTCCCTTCGGGCTGGGGCGTGAGTTCACTGATGTGCTTGAAGAACTGCCTGGTTGGGGTCACCTTTTGTATGTGCTACCTGGCTTCTTACCTCACGAACAAGGTGAGGGGGCGGATCTCGGGGAGGCGGGGATTGAGCGTGGGAGATTTGAGATCCATAGTCGTCCATGAAACAAATCAGCCTCCACCTTTTTAATCATTTCTTTTCCTGTTGATAAAGAGGCCGACTTTGCATGTCATGCACCTTTGGAAATACAGTCTGTTGGACCCTGTTGTGCCTGTTTCCCTGCCTGTAAAGCATCCTTTTTTCAGTCTTGCTAGAAACTGCGTTTTTTGACTAGCAAATTCCCAGGAACTTAATTTTGGGCTGTGTGGATACTTTTAAGGGATTGAAAGCAGTTGGCTCCTGTTCTGGGGAGAGGAGGAATAGGAGGAAAAAATCAAACACATCGTGCCCTCTTTTCTAAAAACATGCCCCTACTCCAGAACCCCACGATATGCTAGAAATCTTTAAATGGGGAGATATCAGCTCTTACCCATCGCTCCTGCACCATTCCCAAACCCATTTTTTATGTCTTCATCCCAGGCACTTACAGTGTATGCAAGATTTTTTTTCGTGGAATTATTCTTAAAATGAAAACTTAATTTTGTTTAAATTAACGACATGAAACCCTTTTTACGAAGAGGCAGAAAAGCAGTACTACCATGTTTTTGTTTTGTTAAGAGGGGGAAACTGGCCTTGGATTTGGTACCATGCAGAAAATGTGGGACCCCCTGTATGCTAGTGTGAAGCAACGCCTCCTATTTTGGATTCTGGGCTAGACACCAAGCCAAGTGGTGATGCTCTACCCAGGACAGCCTTCCTCCATTGTGGGGTCTCAATTGCTCTCTCCTCACTCTATCCTCCCCCCTCACCGCCCTTCTTGCTCGTGTGTAAGAACCGTTCGCAAAGAGCATTTCCTTATACGTGTTCGTCTTCAGTATATTCAAACAATGGGCCTAAACTCCATTCCTTGTCCAGTTATCTTTTTTGTTATGGCCATGGGCTTTTAAAGATTAATACAGATTTGCAGGGAGTCAGTGATGGGTTTGCATCCTTGCTCCGTGTACTTGGCCTTTGAGACTTAAATCTCGCTAAACTTAAACTTGTAAACTTTAAGAAGGGATTAAAAAGTCCTCTTCACCAATTAAGAATATAATCAAGTCAACATAAAGCACAGAAAATTGTTTGGATAGGCACAGGTTCTCTGCTATCTAGACAGTTTTTGCAGAAGGTAAAGTGTAATCTCTCATCTGGTAAGTGATGACAACAGTGAACTGGTGAAAGAAACTCATCAAAAATGAGCAACCTTAACTGAAATTTTAACTTATTGTTTGTCTTCTTTTTGGAAGACTTATAAGCAAGGCAATGAAATTTTATTTTCCAGGTCTTAGGGGAAAAAAAGAAAAGAAAGTTGATTAGAAATTAGATCTCTAGTGATTTTATTATATCCCCAAATATTGAAATATTATAAATGAAGCTGGCTTCTGGGGAAAAAAAGTTTTGCTTCTGGGTGGGAAAAAGTCCTCTTCAGAGAGTTGTGAGGATTAATCTAAATGATGTTTGTAGGGTGATTGATCAAATACCTAACATCACGGTAAATATTCCAAAAAGTAAGTGGTAGTTAACTCTTTGATGGAATGAGGTGGGAAAAGAAACACAATCTTTTACTTTAACCCTTGGGGTATGACACAGTAATTATTAGCATCTCACAGATTTGTTTTTTCATTATAGGACAGGTAGTTAAACTAGAATTTTTCGTAGCACTACCTCAGAAATATGTGAATTTGTGAAATCCTCGCCTTTCTAATTTCTCTAGCTAATCTTAATTTGTCTAGCTAACTTGATGAATGTATTGATATTTCACTTTAAAATTATCTCCAAAATTCATCAGAAGGGGCAGAGAAACAGGTCTTCCATGAAAACCCACAAGCTATGGCATTGTTTTAAAAAAGTGTATCAAAAAAAATTCAATAGCAGATAACATTTATGTCATAAAAATTAATACCCCTCTGGATACAAAGTTGCATTTGTGGCATTATTTTTGTGTTTATTGGGGCACTACATCATTTTATTAAAAAATGCAATAGAGATTGAGTACCTGCCTTGTGTATCATGTCTCAGAGTACCAGACAAAAACAAACAAAACTTGGTATATTAAGAATAATATTATTCCTAATATTACCCATATTAGAAATATCTAACATGAGTAACAGAAATAATAGATTCCTAAAGACACCCTCAGAATTTAAACAGTAACACAGCGACATCTTTCTGCATTTCCCAGGATGGTTCAGGGTTTGGGGTTAGGACTGTTGGGTTGAGCTGTGGTATAATAACAGCAGGGGGCAGAAGAGAACAGCCAGCGAGGAGATTATATGAAGGGGAAGATTATATGAAGGAGGTGACTTTAAAAGTGATGGAGAGGAATGCAAGACTCAGGGGTGTGTGAGGTGGTCCTGGACTCTGGTAGTGTCTGTGTAATTCTTAGCTATGTCCTTGTTTCAACCTGGAGAATCTTCTCAACCAGGACAGTCAAACTTTCTCTGGCAGCAGGGTTTGGACCAGGTAGAGGAGGGGAAGGGAGCTGTGCAGTGGACACCCTGTAAACTTTTGTTCCTGCATCTAATTTTTGCCAAGATAATTTTCTTTAGAAACAGTGAAGGATCCTCTCTTCCAGTTTTTAGAAGACTCTAAATGCTACTTTCTTTATTTTCATATGTCTTAGGTAGTAGTCTCTTTGAACTCTTTCCTTTTCTATTTGTAGGAAGAAAATTTGTTTTAAGAAATCACAGGCCTCCCCGGTGGCTCAGACAGTTGAGCACCTGTGCTGTGAAGCTGTCCGCAGCCTCTGCAGCATGGTTTCGATTCCCGTCAGGCCAGGGAGATTCCCACATGGCTCCGCAGATCTCTCCTGATTTGCCCGCTGCTCCTCTCAGCAGTGTATTTCAGTCAGTGTGCCTGTTGTGCTCCCTGCTCTGTCTCTGGTGAATTCTTTCACCCTCCTGCCTCTCTGACCTTGTAGGGTAAATGGTTTTCAGGCTTTTGGGACCTCCCACCATTAGGAGTGCCCTGCCTGGTGGGGCACCTGCAGTTGTTAGGTTTTTGTAAGCTGACTTGTTTACTTCTGTGGACCATGGGAAGAGTATTGGGATAGTCACAGAGAGAAGTGGAAGCAGAAGTTTAGGCAGGAGAAAGAAGCAGGAGAGAGAAGGGGAGAAAGAAAGCTAGGAGAGAGAGAGAGAAGCCCAGAGTAAAGACTTGCCAGGGGCTCAGGAGGCTTCCTGGCCTCCTGGCACCCCTGCCTGCTGTGTACCTGTGTAGGGTAAATGGTTTTTCAGGCCTTTCTGCCCTCCCACCATTAGGATTGCCCTGTCTGATGGAGGTAACCTCAGTTGTTACATTGTTATAAGCTATCTTATTTGCTTCTGTGGGCTATGGGAGGAGTAGTGCGAGAGAGTCACCAAGAGAAGCAGAAGAAGAAAGCTAGAAGAGAGACAGGAGAGAAAAGGGGAGAAAGACACCAAAGAAGCCCAGAGTGAAGACTTGCCAGGGGCTTGGAAGCCTACTGGCCTCCTGGCCCCCCGGGACCCCTGCCTGCTGTGTACTTATTTGCCACACTACATGTAAAGCTCAATAAAAGCCTGAGAAAGCCACAGAGGGCTCCAGGACTCCTCCTTTACCCATTTGGTCTGCTGAATCATAAAGAATATGCCCTGTGCCAGCCTGTCCTGCCACTGCAGACCTGTACACACAGTTCTTATATAAATAAATAAATATTTAAAAAAAAAAAAAGAAACCGCATGTATTTTAGTGTCACTGTTTAAAAATATATTGTAGGGCCTCCCTGGTGGTGCAAGGGGTTAAGCACTGCTCTAGAAGCAATCCACAGCCTCTGCAGCATGAGTTCGAGCCCCGGCTGGCCATGGAGAAACCCACATGGTGAGGCAGACCTCGCCTGATTCTCCCACTGCTCCCCTCAGCAGTGTATTTCAGTCAGTCTGCCTGTTCTGTTCCCCACTCTGTCTCTGGTGGATCTGCTCACCCCCTGCATCTCTGGCCAGTAACCCAGCTCTTGTATGCATAAATAAATAATTCTTAAAAAAAATAAAAATCTGTTGTTTAAAAGACTTGTTGACTTTTGTTTGAGGTTTCAACAGCAAGTGTTCTGACTTTCTTGGTTGGTGTGGAAGGTTCCTGTAGTAAACCAGCCCAGGGCCCAGGGCAGACAACTCAGCTGTTAGGTCTTCAATCTTGCAAGTTGAGGTGATTGCTTCAGCATTTTCCAGCTTTTCCAGGATCTAAGACAAGCCTCAACACACAGTAAACTAAATATTTGTTACCTTCATGAAGGTTGTTCTGGGTAATACAAGACATCACCCACATGCTCACTTAATCTTTTCTCCATCTGTATTTTAATATGAAAATATTAGGGGAAATAGGAGAGGGGAATATCTTGATTTATGTGAGTAAATAGACTTCAGGGGAGAATGAGGATCCATTTAATAAATATAGAGCAGAGCACAGAGAGTCAACCAGAGATGTCACATTTAGGCTCTCATATAAGGGAATTATGTGTGGACTAATCCAAAGGGAAAAAAATATGTGTAAGCTTGACCAATCCCGGTATATTTCATTGATTAGCTTATGTGAAGAATCAATAGAGTACCTGCCTAAAGCCATTTAATGATTTTAAATTTTTAAAATTCTCAGTCTTAAATAGAAAAAATAGAAAAAGATACCCAGAAGGACAAAAAAAAAAATTTCCTCATTCATAAAGTGCTGTCAATTTGATAAAAAAGACATAATAAACATACAAGTTCACCTTTGCCGAGTTGGCTAAAAAAATCTTTAAAAAGCTAAAGCAAAGTTCCACAAGACACCTAAACACAGTTAGAAAAATTCCTTAAATGCAAAAACCAAATAAAGCCCTAAAATTGGAAGGAAAACACAAGAAAGAGAAACAAAGAAGGGGGTTGGATTTTTAGGTAACTACACAGTGGTAAAGTAGATACCTGAGAATGCAGACATCCAAGGGCCTGGCTGGTTTTCTTGAGTGACTGCAGTTACAAGAGTCTTCAGGGGTCTGGGAAGGTGTGAGTGTCTGAGCATCCTCAGTATCAGACCCTGCTGCTGTGCCTTTCACTATATTGGTTTCGTTCTCCAACCAAGATGTGGCCAGGCTTTTAATAACCCCGGGGACAGCAGGGTTCATTCTCCCTCCACCTCACTGTATGATTTGGAGGATGGGGGATGGATAAAGACCCTTTTGAAACTTGAAGGTGCTTATATGTCTTCAGTAGGAATTTCTTTGATTATACAATGTATCTATTCTCTATAATTTGAAAATGTCAATTAATCTGGTACTTGTTTTTCAGTATGTCCTGTCTGTCTGGAAATTTACCTACCCTACGTTATTCCAAGGGTGAGTATCTTTTATGTTCTTTATATGCATTTGTAAGAAGTGTCCAACTAGTACTGTTAAATATTCTTTAAAATATTCTTAGTAGTATTATTTTTGTTATACAGCAACAACAAACGCAAGGAAACACTCGCCACCATACTTTTTATCCCCTAGATCCTTGCACACATCTCCAAACCACCTCACCTCAATTTGGTTACCACTGTCCACTAGTTCATTTTTATTTTGTTTTGACTGTTCATTAACTTTGTTTCCTTATATTGCACAAATAGGCAAAATCATCCATATTTGTTTTTATCTTTCTCAGTTTGCTTTATATAATCCCATCAAGTTCCTGCCATTTTGCAGGCAAAATTTCATCTTACAAGTAACAGTATTTTATATATATACCACATCTTTGTCCAATCATCTGTCAATGAGAACTTAAGTTACTTCCGTATCTGTCAGAGAACTTAAGTTACTTCCATATTTTAGCTATCGTAAATAATGCTGCAATGAACATTGTGGTACATCTGACTATTGGAGTTGATGATTTCATATTCTTTGGACAGATACCTGAAATGGGATCACTGGATCATATGATAGTTCTGTACTTAGTTATCTGAGGAAGGCCCATGTCACTTTTCGAAATGACTGTGCCAATTTACATTCCCAACAACATTTGTATAAGGTTTTCTTTTTCTCCACATTCCAGCCAACAGGCTTTTTGCCAGCAGGCTTTTTGAAGCAAGCCCTTCCTACAAGTGTGAGATGGTAGCACATTGTGGTTTTGATTTGTGTTTCTCTACTAAGGGGTCTATTGCTAAATTGTTTTAATTATTACACATATAAATATGTAGCCAAGCAAGTTATCCTCATTCTTCCTTTTAAAAAATGTTCCTTATATTGTCAAGTTTCTCCCTACCATTTCATGGAGAAACCTTTACAGTGTTGTCTATGATTATGTATATTTCAATTAATAAAGCCAGGACTTATTTGAGGCTTCAGACCAGGCATTGTCTCTCTTCAGTAAATAGGAATGCTTTTCTGGTCTTGATTGCTTTCTCTCCTTTCTCTAGGTGGAGGGAGTTTGGGAATTTATATGGGGGAAGGTATGATCTTTATACCTGAATTGTCTTTGTCCCTTCTTGTCTGTGTCAGACCAAATGTGCCCCCAACCTGCCCACCCTGCAATAGAATGCAAGGTCTGCAAATGCAAGAATTTTTTTAAGATCCGTTTTGTAGCTGAAGTATCTTTAATGCCTGAGAACAATGCCTGGCACATTAAGGGGTTCATTGAAGGCAGAGTAATTCATTCTGCAAATATTTATTGGTTTCATCCTTGTGCCAGGTACTGTTCTAGAATCTTGGGATACATCAGTAAAGAAAACACAGATCCTTTCCCTCCTGGAGTTTGCATTTCTCTCCTACGTTCCATAACTCTACCTGCAGTGAATGGCACCCTCTCTCCCGTTGCTTGACTCAGAATCCTGGGAATTATTCTTTCTTTATCTCCTTCATCCTCAATATTTGATTAACCATCAGGACCTCCTGGACATGTTTAGGATCTACCTTTTTCATCCCTATCACCCCTTCCTGGGTTGCTCTCACCTCTCAATTTACTCTAATGACTCCTAACTTGATTCCTGGCCCCTGGTCTTGCTTCTCTCAAAGACATTCCTTGTAAAGAGAGGGTGCTTTGCAAATGTAAAGGTGACAGTGTCCCTTACATAGTTGAGATCCCTCAGTGGGTCCCTGTTTTGAAGTCCCTGCTTGTAACATGGTCGATGTGGCCCTTCTCTCCAGTGTTAGCTCTTGTCACTCTTGCTTTTTTTTTTTTTTTCACTCTCGCTTTGTTTACTCAAATGTTAAGGTCTAGGTGAATTGAACTTATCTGGGCTTCAGACCAGCCATTGTCTCTTCTTACCTCTGGGGCCATTCTGGGTCTTTTGCTTTTTTTATATGATTCAGGTTTTTGCTGAATTTTTTGATTCAGGTTTTTCTTCTTTAAGAAGACTTACCCAACTCATTAGACTAGATTATTTGTCTCCGATAAGGTGGCTCATGCTACCTGGTACTCTTCCTATTGTGATTTTATCACACTTTGTAATTATTACTTAAGTAGCCTACTTCCCACTAGACCAAGGTTTCTTAACCTCAGTGCTGTTAATATTTTAGCTGGGTAGTTCTTTGTGGGGTCTGTTCTATACATTGTAGGATGTTTCCTCCTTTACTCATCACGCACCAGCATTAACCCTTCTTTCCCATGTCCCCAGTTGTGACAATCAAAAATGTTTTCAGAAATAGCCCACATGACTGAAGAACCACTGCTCTAGACCAGGCTGTTGGAGGGCATGCACTCTCTCTGTGTGATTTGCCTGGCTGCTTCAGTAAAGGCTTCAAAGAGGAGACTGAATCACATGCGATGAGCAGGTGTTGACCAACAACAAGGACATGGGAAGAACATTATGGGTCAGAAGATCGCACATGCAGCCCTTTAAATGACTGAAAGGGCCTGGCACAGTGCCAAGGCTGTGGGCCATTGGGTGTAGATGGAATGGAGCTGATCCTGGGAGAAGGGTGGGTGCAAGGTGTTGAAAGCTTGAGCATCACACGTAAGTGAACTTGTCGTGTAACAGTCTCAACTGTGGTACAGCAACAAATGTCTGTGTTGTAGTCACATCTAAGATGAAGGGTCTCAGGTCATAACTAAAATAAAGTTTTAGAATTTATTATGATTCACCTAAAATAAATAAAAAACAACAACAACAATTAGAGTGGAACAGGATGAAGTTAGGTCCATAGTACCCCTCTCACTCATTTGGCATGTGACTGAGCTTCTTGCAGTGGGAGAGGGAAGGGTGTTTATATCCTGTACTCCCCTTCATGCTAAGAAAATGGGTTTCATGCCCCAATTGTCTTCTATCAGAAAAGAGTCTGGGAGCTGCTGTCTGGGCATCAGGAAAAATCAGCTCTGTAACACAATTAAGTTTGCATTTTAGAACACTTTGACTACAAGAAGAGTAGGTGACCAGTGTTGTGGTCCAGGTATGAGATGATGAGAGTCTGAATTAGACAAAGGAATGGTGTGGAAGGCTCAGATTTGACAGCTGTTTTAGGGATAAAATCAACAGGATTTTATTAACAGATGAGGGAGGTGAGGACTGAGGCAGGGCTTGGATGAGTCTAGATTTCTGATTTGGCTGATTAGGGATAAGATGATCAGAGTAGAGAATGGGAAATTCAAGGTAAGGTTTTATGCTTATTGTATTTAGGAGTTTAAGGGCTGTCAGGGTTGCAGTATCCTTGAGGATAGGGAGTTGGAAATACCAGTGCAGAGTTAATGGGGGAGAGATAGCTGTGGGTGAAGCTGTTCAGGAAAAGTTAGGAATAAGAAGAGTATCAGTGTCAACACTGAATGGGACACTAGACTAAAGGAAACAGTAGAGGTTGTGAGCAAAAGTGTGAGAGACAAGAGGTGTAAGAAGGATCAGATGTTTGTATTTGTGTGAGTCAACAGACCTGCTGGGGCTGAGTATTGTTTGAGGCCATGACGCCCTGTTAAATTCACATTGGCCCTTGTCCTTTTCAGGTGGCAGACATTAATTGGTGGACTTTTGCTGCATGTGTCATGGAAACTGGGCTGGGCCGAGATCAACAACAGCTCAAGGTAGAACAATGTTTTCTGTGCTGGACTCATGATTCAAACCCTGCTTCCTTTTACATTATTTAATTTCTTTTGGTATGATATTAGGAAACTTGTGTGTTTGAGTTGTTTGGTCTTTCTCAGTTCCATCCTAACCTTGAGATTCGTGATTTTTATAATCTACTAGAACTCAAGTAGTGATTTCCAGGTTAATAATGCCACTAATACAATATTTAAATTAACTGAGAGAGTTTATCATACCATATTTATTTGACCTTATTTTACGTCATAGAACCACAAGAATGTGTTCTCTCAGCTTTAAACTTTCATTGTAAATTTTTAATTTTGAAATTATTTCCTTTCAGAAAAGTTAAAAATAGTACAAAGAATTCCCATACTCTTTACTCAGCTTCCTCAGTTATTACTTTGCCACATTTAAATACATTTCTCTTGATATATACTGTTGCATATTTTTTTCTGAACTATTTGAGAATAATTTGCAGATTTGAGAGTAAATACTTCTTTTCTTTACTTCTAAATTCTTTAGCATTTATTTTCTAAGGGCAAGGAAATTCCTTTACATGTCTAGAGTACAATTACAAAATCAGGAAATTAACATTCGTATACTACTATTATCTTGGCTACAGAGCATATTTATATTTTGCCAATTTTTTCAGTAATGTCCTTTATAACTCTTCCCCCCAGCCCCAACCCAAATTTTGATCCTGGGTGTAATTCAGATCATGCATTGATTGCATTAATTGTTACAATTCTATTGACAACTTTTCAAATAGATTTAAAAGAAACTTGAAAGGCCATAACATTTTTTAGTCAGTCTGAATTGGCTGTCTACTCCTGCCTCACCTAGATGAATCCTCATGATTCTTTAAAATCATGACTCATCTGAAATGATGTGCAAAATGAAAAGATGAAGTCAAAGTTCATATGAATAAGCTAAAGATCGCAATTGTGTGATCATCAGTTCAACTCATTTGTCTCTCGTCCAAATTATTTTGCCCCACTGCTCCATTAATTAGATTAACTGCTTAATTGCTAAGTTATCACTTTTCTTGGCATTCTGGAGGAGCTTTGAGAATGTGTACAGTATAAATATTAATTATTTTAACATCTTAAAATATAATACAGAAGGACAAAAACTAGTATTGAGTCTACAGGGAAGAGGGGAGACCCTGGGAACAGAGGTGTGGATTAATATCCCTGAGCCTATATATTATACTCCTTCTGAAAGAGTTTACCACACAATATGCTTAAATAATCCAAAGGAATAGTGCATTAAGATATAATTTTGCATTTCTGTGGTGTAGTGTCCTCAATTGGATAAAGTGGAATGCTTTTGGGACTTTCTATGTGCTACAAAGATTCTTCTATGTGATAAAACTTCAGGGATTTTCTTTGTGATGTTACCATACCATTACTCCATTGTTATAATGGCCAAGTGTCCATCAAAACAAATATAGGCCTGAAATTCACAAGTCCTGTGATAATTCTAATGTTTAGTCTATTCTGATTCCAAATGGTTGAACTTATTTCTCCACAGAAATAAGATATTGTACTAGAATGAGTCAATTAGATGTCAGATTTTGCATTGGGGTCCTCCAGAGGTGATCAACCTGGGTTTTCCACCCTTATGGTGTTCCTGTTTAAGGAAATTAGGATTTTCTTATAATTTTTTTAAAGATTTATTTATTTATGCATACAAGAACTGGGGTACAGATCAGTATTGTGGGGGGTGGGGCGAGAGGATTCACCTGAGACAAAGTGGGGAACAGAACAGGCAGATCAACTGAAATACACTGCTGAGGGGAGCAGCAGGCAAGTCAGGAGATGTCTGCTATGCTATGTGGGTAGCTCCCTGGCTGGGGATCAAACTCTGCTGCAGGGGCTGTGGCGAGCTTCATAGGTTGGGTCTATACTTTTTGAGATGAATTGTTTGGTTATTAACAAGTCTTTTAAACGTTTTACCTTAGTCATGTTTCCTTAGAAGCAATGTCACTGTTCATACTGAAGAACATCTGTAGTAAGAGATATAGAATGTAAATGTTACCATGTTAAAACAATTTTTAAGTGTGTATTTCAGTGGGCATAAAGTAAATTTACAATGTGTACAACCATTATAACCATCCATCTCCAAATGTCTTCATCATCCCAAACAAACTCTGTACCTATTAAGCAATAACTCCCGATTCTCCCTTTCCTCCAGCCCATGGTAAACTATTGTTCTACTTTCCATCTTTATGAATCTGCCAGGCCTAAGTACTTCATTTAAGTGTGATCATAGTTGCCTTTTGTGTCTAGCTTATTTCACTTAGTAAGATGTTTTCAAAGTTCATCCATTTTGTCATAAATATGAGGATTGCATTCCTTTAAAAGTCTGAATAGGACCTCCCCGGTGGCACAGCGATTGAGCACTGGGTTGTGAAGCTGCCTGCAGCCTGTGCAGCACCAGTTCGATCCCTGGCCGCTGAGTGAGGGTCCCACATGGCGCGCAGACCTCTCCTGCTGCGCCCGCTGCTCCCCTCAGCAGTGTACTTCGGTCCTTCTGCCTGCTCTGCTCTCCGCTCTGACTCTGGTGAATTCTCTCACCCTCCCGCACTTCTGACTGTACCCAGTGCTTGTATAAATAAATAAATAAATCTTTAAAAAAAAAAAGTCTGAATAATATTCTGTTGTATGTCTGCGCCACATTTTGCTTACCATTCACCCCTTGATGGACATCTTCATATTTTGATTGGGGACACAAGGAGTGATTGAACTTGGTAAAGAAAACATTTTTCAGGATTCTTTCATTGGAAGAAGTGGGCCTGCAACAGTAGAAGTTTGAGACCCACTGGATACTTTTGTCCCTTGAACCAGGCTGTCCTAGTTTTAACCCCCCTCTGAAGATTCTTGATCATACCCCTTTTCATCCTCTTGCTAAACTTGTGAAGGTCTTTTCACTTCTCTTAGGTGGTTTTACAGCCACACTTGTGGCTCACTAAACTTGTGAGGGGCCTTTTTACCTCATTCTTAGGTGGTTTTATAGCCACACTTGCGATGTTAGCTCAGTTTAGCTTCTTGTCAAAGATCTCAATCTCCTAGTTTTGATGGATCTTTTGTTTTATAACTGCTGATGCAGCTCAGGATTTGCAGTTGCCATGGCCCTTAGCAAAGAGTGTAACCAGATGGCTAGCAACAAGGACCCAGCACTAGTGTTCCTTTGTGTATACCCAGCTGGGTTAGTGTTTTATGGCTGCTGTTTCTAATGCTATTTTCTGTGACTTGGCTTTCTAATTATGCCATTATGGAGCTAAAGCAGAGGTTAGACTAAATTAGACTAAACTGAAAATTGAGAGAACAGTGGGAAGACAGTTTGGTGTCCCTGAAGGAATTGTAAAGTGAGCTTATAATGGTGGGGCTGGAGGGTGTGTCCCAAATTGGTACTTAAAGCCAAGGGCACAGAAATCTCATTCAGACTATTCTTATAACCTGGAGCACAGAATCCTAGATTCCCATTCAAACAAATCACAGAATCTGGCACCACATTTATTTTGTCACAAAACGGCCTTATCTGCTGTGTCCCGCAGTCTATCGACTCCACTGAGGGACTCCATGAAGTCATTCTCCTGCTAGGTTGTTTGCCCAGTGACCAGCTGTTAGTTGTTATCACTGAAAGTTGGAGGTGCCGTGGAAGTCTGTTTAGGGAAAGATAACACTGGATTTAGCTACAAGTTTCTCGTTGTATGGCAGCTACTGCTGTTGTCAAGTCATTGCAGAAACATGGAAGTAATTTTTTTTTAGCAGATATTGGATTACTGTGCTAAAAAGGAAAATATTTCAGTTTCTCCTCATTGAGTTTGATGCTAGCTGTGGGCTTGGTATATATGACCTTTATTTTTCTCCCCCCAAGATTTATTTATTTATTTATTTACTTATTTATTTATACAAGCACTGGGTACAGTCAGACGTGACGGAGGGTGAGAGAATTCACCAGAGACAGAGCGGGGAACAGAACAGGCAGACTGATGAAGAAATACACTGCTGAGGGGAGCAGCGGGCATGGCAGGAGAGGTCTGTCGCGCCATGTGGGACCCTTGCTGGCGACCGGGGATCCAACTGGCGCTGCAGAGGCTGCGGGCAGCTTTGCAGCCCAGCGCTCAACCACTGCGCCACCAGGGGAGGCCCTATATATGACCTTTATTATGTTGAAGTATTTTCCTTCTACTAAGTTATCATAAATGGATGCTGAATTGATTATATACCTTCTCTGCACCTTTTGATATAACCATATGATTTTGTGTTTCCTTTTGTTCATTAATATGGTGAATTATATTGATTTATTTGCATATATTGAACCATCCTTGCATCCTAAAATTCCACTTGTTTATGGTGTGAAGTTTGTGTGAAATTTGTTCATTTCTTAGCATTGTTGGTTAAAGTTAGTCAGTTAACTATTTATCTGGGATGTACCTGGGAGTGAACAGGGCTAATTATAATTTCCAACTCTTTAGGTAACCATGAAAATGTAATAAAATTATATTCTCCCATGCCCAGAATCTGGTAGGATTTCCATCTGTTATTGCTATATCTCCTTGGAAAATAATGTTTGGTTATGGCAGAGCTAACTAGGATTTTAAATTTATCATTTCATTTCTTCCTGAAGAAATTATTTTTAAAATACATTTCAAGAGATAGCAAAAGCACAAAGAAGAACCCCACTTGCAGCTTATATCTTTGCCTTGTTTCCACACTATCTAGAAAAGTATGGAAACTTCAGTTGTCATGAATCTCACCTGCACCAGGTGACTGTTAAAAGGCCTGACCCCTCCATGTTGTTATAGAACACTGACAGTCATGGAAACCCTATAAGCTAGGGTTTTTAATTCCTGAAGCAGCAAGTGTAAACAATTCTTCATGTTATGTAAATGCAGTTGTTAGTCTAATACTGTCTGAGCAAAAGGTTCTCTCTTGAAGGGACACCTAATTATCTTTAGTTTGTTTGCTGTCCATATGAACATGCTTGAGTT